ATATCCGTACGATTGTTCTTCCCCGTCCCTAATCCTCATTCTTTAGGCTGCTCACAAGGTTATTTTCATCCACATTCTCACCCTTGTGATTAGAGTCCTGTTACCTCACTCAGCTAGAGAATTTCTCCGAGGTTTCGACCGTGACCCGTCCCTTCTATCCGTACAGTAGAGGTCAGAAGGGTTCGCGGAATGATCTCCCATGCACTTTTGCCTCTCACAAAGACTAAAAGACTAAATGGAGGCTTGTTTCTCTCCTAATTGAAAAGGCCCCAGGATTCAAGGGCACTAAAAGACATAACATAAAGGGGTTGCCTAAATGAGAGAAAGAAATGTGCGAAAAACCTTTTCAGCGAATACTTTTGACCGCTACTCTATATTCCTCTCAAATTCCAGGCCCTTTCTCCTACGGTCATAGCCTATGTGTCTCCGCATATATCTACATGTAACGATAATCTACTCATAATTTCCAGATTTTTTCGCATAGATTACTTGCAGTTTCCCTGATAACTTTCAAGTGTCAGTTACTGTAAATTGTCGCGTTTAGCAAGCGAGTAAACTCAAACGCTTCGATCTGGAAAAGCAGGAAACTGGAAATTGGCGCCTTTAGTAAATTTGAGGAACGTGCGAAGGAAGCCTGCAAAGTGCTCCAATCACAGAATCGTATCAATCATTTTTTGTTCAGCAAATAATAGAGTGCACGTATCGCGCAAACGATACTTTTGATCGCCCTATAGAACAATCAGGGTGGGAAACGTGGCGATGGGGTGATTCTGACGTATGATTTTGCTCGTGATATTGCAGAGTTCTGAGCGTGTGCTAATTTGTTTTCGGATCTCGCTTTACCAGAATCAATCAGGAACATTTGATATTGGAAGCCATCTGCTATTTCCCACAATGCTATACTGTATCGCATCTAATGCGAACGGACAACATAAAAAAGTATCAATATTCTCCAAGAATGGGGCTAGCTCTAGGACCCCTCATCAAAGCTGTAGAAATTGCGCTGTATTCCTTGATGGAAGTTGAGAGTACGGCGCATTCTGCAGAGCTGATCAAATCGATAACGTCGTGGAGCGATATTTTGCGAAGCAATTATCAGTTCTTCATGCGCGAAATTACACAAATAACCAAGCAAAAACACCGCGTGCAAATTTTCTTCTTCATATTGCGCTTGAAATTTTTCCTAAACATTTTTTTTCAAATTATGGAACATACAGAGGACTTTCAGTGCAGCGCCCTGTGACGCCACCTACACTGCTTTATCATCGCTCTGAACAGCGAATTTCTTCATTTACAAAAAAAAAGGATTGGAGTTTCAAGAGCGTATTCTATTAGCGCTTGTAAACACATGCTACCCACTGCTATTTGACCTTAGT